TTTAGTTATCGTGTGTTGGGTCAGGTGTTATGTGTGATTATTATTGTCAGCTGTTGCTATTGAGGAGTTTACTCTCTCGTGTTGTTAGTATCGAGAGTCCGCACTGCGTGCGCCTTTTCTTGTTTTTTGCGCACTGTTGTTTGTGTGCGTAATTTGTTCTTGCCTCCCGGTTGGGTTGGCAATGCACCTGTTTTTTGGATTACTAAAGTCTGTTGACGAACACCCTTGTTCCTGCGCTTGATTCCCTGCACCACATCCACACGCAGCGCTCTGACACAGTTGAAAAATATATGGCAAATAGAAATCAAAACTGGATTGTGTTCAGAGATAGATGGGAGGGGTTGAGTGGAGCTGAAGGGTGGAATTAAAAATAACAAGATAACTAATGTAAAATATACTATGTACGTAAAATGTATATAGGTTCAGAACTTTGTGAAACAGCACAGATGGAAAATATATGGCAAAAGGAAATAATCAAAACTGGATGGTCTTCAGAGATAGATGGGAGGGGTTGAGGGTAGCTGAAGGATGGGACTAAAAACAAACAAAAGATAACTATTGTAAAATATACTGTGTCCGTAAAATGTATATAGTATGTATAAGCTGGAAGTAGAAGCCTAAGTGTTGTTGTCCATTAGTTTACTCCAATTAGGGGAGGGGTGGTAGGGTTAGGGAAAAATAATAAAGGAAAATATATATATAAAAAAAATCTATATATTGAAAATCTTGCAGACAATTACATTGATGGAAGCCATAGTCTATCTGTAATATCAAAACTGATATACCCCCTAAAAGGTATGGTTTCACTTTTTTTTTAAACATTTATTGACTGCCAAAGCATGTGCATTAAAAGCTCCTCTACACCATAGTCTGTCTTCTATGACTCTAGAACATCATTGACAGTTTAACAGAATAATTATAGTTCTGGTAGTTGTTGTTAAGAGTGTACAGCATGTGACAGGGAATTGTCAGATAGTTTACAGTGAATTTAATTGTTATACATATGCTGATGAAAAACGTAATTTATTCCATTAACAATGCTAACATTGTTAGCAACTGCTATAAGAACTATGTAACACTTGGAATAATAGTTCCTGACAGAATGTCAACAGTCATGATATCTACCTCATGTAATACACAACTCTGTTGTGAAGGTGAAACTGTGAAATATTCAAGCATGTGTCATTTCACGCTTCATTACCGAGCTATGTCACTCGCCAACTTGAGCTTAGTTGTTTTGACAAGCTCTATGCCATTGTTATGATAGCATTATGTTGCCTTCATGACAGCAACCCCCATGTCAAAGGCCAACCATAACTCATACAACCATACAGCAGCCATACCACCCTGGCTGCATTCATCCCACTGATGGTTTGCCTCTGAAGCTATGCAGGGCTTGGTCGACCCTTGGACTGGTGTTGGAAGTGGTGTTGGAGGGCTAATAGGGGACACTCTTCCCTCTGGTCTAAGGAGAGCCTATGCCCCAAGGCAGTAGTGATTGGAGACACTGCCCTATCTAGGGGTGCTGTGTTTCAGATGGGACATTAAACGGCTGTGAACATATTTACGGTCATGTTACAGTCAATTGACACAGGCCTCAACATCATCAAGGTAGCATGAGTTGCAATGCATGTTTATTTACACAGCAAATTACCATTGGTTGACGCTTCCCCAGGTCGTTGATGTGAATGCATTCTCAACCAACCTAGCTGGTATTAGGGATGTCAGTATTTTACAACTTGATGGTTCTTCACCATAAAAGTAGTCAGAAACTGTAATCCATGGTTAAGTTCTCTTTAAACAGCCACTACAAACTTCAGCTAACTTTAGCCACCGCTAGCTAACAATCAATAGAAGTGATAGGGACAACCCAACCACGCAATGTGTTTTTGTAAATGGTCAAATGATTTTTAACTAAGGTCAAACCAATTTCAGTTGATTTGGAAATAACATTATGAAAGTTACACATTTCCTTTACACTCATTGTAAAGCAGCAATTAAGGAGGAACAAGTAATAAAGAACTCTGCCTCACCTCCTTCCTTTTCCTCTTCCTCCTCTCTGTGTGTTCTTTACGTTTGAAGCCCCCGGTAATCAATCTGTCTCATTTAGCTTGAGTTACATGTCAGAAGGACTTTAGAGTGGCTTTGTGGGAAAATGCCCAGTGTCCTGCAGCCTAAGGAGATAATGTGTATGAATCCATGGAAGTTACACAAGCTAGCCACATTGTTAATGAGGGTGGTGTGTGTATGTGAGTTGTGTGTGTGTGTGTGTGTGTGAGAGAGAGAGAGAGAAAGAGAAAGAGAGATAGAGACACAATAATTACTTTTATGACCATATTTGAAATCAATGCTTTTTGACAAGACCATGTTATGTTGATTTAAGGACTTTATTATTTTGTGGATTGTACTGTTTATATAGCAAGTTCACATTTGTATAATACAGTGTACATATTAGTAAATACAAGGAACATTCAGTATTTCTCACTTCTGTACATTTTGTCTTGGCGCATTAAGAATCAGTCTTGTTCCACTATGGACCACATCATCAGGGCTTGGTGATACAACTCCATCCATTTCCCTTGTCCTCCATAGACTTTCAACAATCCCTTCACTGTCAAACTCCAACTCTTTCTCTGACCAAACAGTATGTTGCCAAGTGCAAGGTGAAGTTGAACATAAGCCTTCATTGGTCTTTTATTGTACTTAACTAGGTGTGCTGCTGTCAACTTCACAACTATACAAAACTTGTGGCCTACAACTGTCCTCTCTTAAAAATAAAGAAATTAAGTGAATACTGTTTGGGGGGAAACAATTCTGTCCTCAGGCCAGTTTTCATATCATATCAGCACATTCCTGGTCAGTTTCTGTAGGGGAAACCAACTTTGTTGTTACAGTCATGGCTATACACTGAGTGTACAAAACATTAGACACCTGACTCCACCTTGTCAGACATATGTTCTCTACACAGAAACTGACCCGTCTACTGAGAACCACTGTAGTGAGAGAGAGAGAGTAAAAATATGTTGTCAGGAAATGTCATAGACAGAGTTTAATTAGAGTTGAAAAGCTTTTACATCTTAGTGTTGCATTCAAGTTAACAGTCCATTTAAAGACTGCTGCTGTATCAAAAGAGGCAACTATGGATAATCATTTAGCCAAATAAGTGATAACTTGTGGAACTGAGCCGAGCTGTACCAATCAACGCCACCCGTCAGTCAGTATGGCTCAGTATTGAACAGCCTGCTGTCATTTCATGCTCAACCCTCGTCGTGGAGAGCTATCCTTCTATAGGTTTTCACTTCATCCCTTACCTAACCTACTTGTACACATTCAGTACACACACTGAGAATACAAAACATTAAGAATACCTGCTCTTTCCATGACATAGACTGACCAGGTGAATCACTTGTTAAATCCACTTCAATCAGTGTAGATGAAGGGGAGGAGACAGGTTAAAGAAGGATTTTTAAGCCTTGAGACAATTGAGACATGGATTGTATATGTGCACCATTCAGAGGGTGAATGGGCATAACAAAATATTTAAGTATCTTTGAACGGGATTTGGTAGTAGGTGCCAGGCGCACCGGTTTGAGTGTGTTAAGAACTGCAACGCTGCTGGGTTTTTCACATTCAACAGTTTCCCGTGTGTATCAAGAATGGTCCACCACCCAAAGGACAAACAGCCAACTTGACAACTTTGGGAATCATTGGAGTCACATGAGCCAGCATTGTGGCTGTTCTGAGGGCAAAAGGGGGTGCAACTCAATATTAGGAAGGTGTTCCTAATGTTTTTGTCACTCAGTATATATATACACATATATATATATATATATATATTATACTATACAGGGATATACCACATTTAGCCCCAGCAGGTATTTACCATGCAGGTCATTGAGGTAAAGTGGGATTGAGTCACTGTCAATCGACTCTAGAGACTGCATCTGAGTCAGACGTCCTGTTGGACCCTGATATTTTACGATAAGCCTTGAGTGCTCAAAAACACAAACTTAAAACGAACAACTAAAAATACATACAAAACAAAAACAACATCATCATCAGGGACCTGAAACATTTCCCAGGCAATTGTGATGTTGAATACATACAGTGTTCTACAATCTAACCTTGTAGAAAAAGATAAACAAAAAGATAATACAGTTTATTACTGTTAGTAACACATGAAAGTGAGTGAGAATACCTTCATTCATAATTAAGCCACTGAACTAAGATCAGTAAACTGTTGATAAAACGTTCTGTACAGTACTTACAATAGGCACGTGTACCTATAGACTCAGGCTAGACTCGAAGTCTTGCACTAGCAAGCTAAACCAGAAGTGGATCAATTCTGTGACATAAATTGGTTAAAATAGAGCAAAGCATTAATATTGTCTTTGCTCTCTTTGAACAAACCTGTATGTCAGTTATGCCAGTAATTTAACAAGACAGTCCTAACAGATCTCTTTGCATTAAATGATGGACAGAAAGCAAGCGACCACTGTTACTTCCTCTGAACTCCTGTCATTCAACCCCACTCCCCAAAAAAAGTTTCCCAATGTGAAATTGAATAAAACAAAACAAAACAAAATCAAGTTACAAATGAGAATTAAAAGGGGAGACGCTTCACTTTAGGCTGTATTATGCTGCAATTATATTTGTTATAAGCATGCATTGGCATTTTAACCCTCAAATAAGCTAAAAAATATGACCCCACAAAGTACAAAGTAAATAAGGGAACATCCCCCTCAGTTCTTAATTCCTAGCTGCCTGTAATGGTTATGCATGCCTATGACACATTTTGAAGCATTTACGAAAGGCTTTATGAATGCACTGATTGCATTCTAGACTGCCTGAAGCTAAGTCCTAACGAAAAGATGTGCTAACACTTTACTTTGAGCTAACACGTATAATGCTTTATTACTTGTTATAAGCATACTATGCTTATGAGCCTTTATAATGTCTTAATAATAATAATAATAATATGCCATTTAGCAGACGCTTTTATCCAAAGCGACTTACAGTCATATTCATACATACATACAGTCATACATTAATATAAGGCTTATGAGGCTTATAATATGTATGTACTATGGCATGACAATAAGACATTATATAAGTGGGTCGTAAATGCCTATAACAATTTTTACATTGCATTATAACCACATCTTAATGCATTATACCTGTCAGCTTTAAGTAACTTGTTACTAAAAAGTCTAATTGGAATGCTTCTTTTCATCTTGAACAGGTTTAACTCTCAGTGGTTGGAATTCCTCCCGTCTCGCTCGTCTCCAATCTCTAATGACTAGCCTTACATTTGAACGTCGTTGTTGTGAACAATGGGGAAATTAGACACCCCTGCTTTTCCTCTGATCTGCTTCCATCCCTATTCTTCTGTCTGAAGGATTTTCAGTCGCGTTCCAGGTCGTCTTTTTGGCAGTCGCCTACAGTATATCATATGAATATGGTCCCTGCTACTTTAGACATTTAAACACTTTTCCAGGCAATGTGAGATCTGATCCTCCATGCAGCGCAACTGCATAAAAGGACAACCTGGAATGCCACTGATATCATTGCCTGAGTAAGTTCTACTTGAATCCCCCCAACAAGGCCTCTAACCTTCCTCAACCTATACACAACTAATCCAGGTTGTCTGAGCTTTGATTAGGAAAAGGAAACAACATTAGACAAAGGTCAAGCTAATCACCAAGCCACACAAAATACCCTGAGAAACTAAACAGAAATAGAAAACCCTGGATTATTTGTATATCTTATCCTGAATAATGGCTAGTTGTTCAATTGTACGTTATTTTATGTACAGCACTTGTACGTGTATTTTGAATATGATGTGTATCGGTTATATGACTCGCTAGTTTGTACATGCTGTTCCTCTTGCTAATAAAGCAGCGGATGACCTCACGGGAAAGGATTAGATGATTTATACAGATTCCAAGCAAGACGTTTTGAAAGACAGTTGTGGTGTAAATGACTGCAAATTTTTCATTGACCGAACAAGTTGGCCTACGTCTATCATGTCCAATAAGGTGTCCTGCATTTGACATCATGTGGTCCCTGAAAGGGTGTATGTTAATGTCCAATGGCCTTGGTCCTGTTGTCCCTTATCATTGACACAACACTTGATTGACACAGCACTTGAGTGAACAGTAGGCTTTTTTGTTGGTTCTCTCTCTACAGTATGTGTATGCATACGTGTGTGCATACTGGCGTGCATGCATGCATGTTTGTGTACGCGTGCATGTTTGTGTGTGTAGATATACATTTATGTGTGTGTGTGTGCATTCGTGGATGTTTGTGTGTGTAGATAGGCCTATATGTGTGAGTGAGTTTTGAATTCCTAGTCCTTTCCTATCTAGGTCAGAGTATAGGCCCAGTGTGAGAGCCCCAGTGTTATGCAGATGGACCAGATAGAGGCTGGAGTCAGGTTTCCTTTGTGACCTGCTCCACAGACCACCATGTTAGCCAGCACAGGCCAGCCAGTCCACTACTCTGACTTTGTTCCAGTAGATACATTGATACTGGGAACTGTTCATATGTCAGGTCTAAAGAAATAAAAATAATTCATACGATAACTTTAGTTTGAAAAGGGATATTTCTCATTAATATTTAATTATACAAAATATTATGGAGGAAATGGCTCAAATAATTGAGCTTCTCCATATCAAGGTGTTGAAAATAATAGAGGCGATGATGCAGTGTGATATGGCATTAGCTTTTTTCACATAAGAATTGGTTTGGATTTAGTGCTTGCTAAACCTTTTTTAGTCTAGCTCGTTATATCTTTCCAGTCCTTGACCTCTGCAGACAATTGCCACCATTCAGCAGTGACAGACAGTAATTGATTGACTAGCAAATGGTCAAAAATGATGGAATATTTTGCCAATAAATTACAAACAATTAAATGTACAGATGTTACAATAGGTAAAGGTATGGTTGATAAGGTAGGCTTTGTTAGTACAGAACAACAAAAAATGAAATTAAGGAATAGTAGTGCTTTACTGTACGTGTTGAATGCTAAGTGAGGTTCATCAAAAGTACCACAAGCCAGAGTTCTGTGTTGCAACTGAGGAATGTATGAAAATAATTAGTTCAGTCAAAAGAGAAGCACAGACAATCAAGCGCAATCCCCAGAGTTTTGTAGCCCTTTGCTACTTCAGGGTTAGTAGTTCAGGGTTAGTGAGAGAGCAGAACAAAATGGTGCCTGACTGTTTTGGGCACACTGAAGACACAATTGAACACCCAGTAGTATGGTTACAAGGCCACAGTTGACCATAATGAAGAAAATCCATGCAGACCATGAAGGTGGTAAGGGATGCAGAGGCTGCAGAAGTCTCGCAGAAATGTTCGATTTAGGTCTGAGGTGAGTCTTGGTGGATTGATAGCAGTAGGTTTGGCATCAGGTGTGGGGTGATCAGACTTTGGTTTGCCAATCTGAATGGTTTGGCATTGGTGTAATTGCTCAGATGGATTTATCTGGTTGGTGTAGTCGGTTAAATAGTCACAGTATGGATGGACTGTGGCGGGGGGGGTGAATTTGGCTATGATGTTGCAGTGAGATTTTCGTAGCATTGGCGGTAATGGTTAAATGGTCACACTGCAGACGTGGCAGTGGGTTTGACGGTGTTGGGGCTGAGCACAAGGCTCTGTGCGATGTCTTCGCGGTTGATCTTACACAGCGCCGTGCAGAGCGTGTCCAGGCTGGCGCAATCCTGGCTCGCCCAATCAGAGAGCAGTGCGCGGACGGGATGCTCCTGCTGCCGGAAGGTTGCAATGCGCTCTTCCTGGTATCCCAGCAGCCCCGCCAGGCTGCACCAATCTCTGTCCTCCGTGTGGTCATAGCCCTCCCCTTCTCCGCCCCTGTAGAGGAGTTTCTCCACTTCCTCTCGCGTGTGGAGGGGAAGGAGCAGACAAGGCTCCTCATCCACAGTGACCACTGCAGGGAGAAAGACGTTACATGAGCGTTAGTCTGAGGTTATATTTACATTCATATCTGTTGAAGTAATGTTTAGTAACACTGGACAGTGAGGTCCAAATCCTTACCCGAGATCTGTGTGGAGTTTTTTGTCAATCATGCATTAATGTAAATGGGGCATCATTACCTCATAGCTTTGACTTTCAATTTGACTTTGTTGCCAGATGGAATCACAAAACAGAAATGCACATCAGCCAATAATATTGATTGTCTACACTTACAGTATATTGTAGTACTTTGTTCAGGCCAGTTGGAGTGTTCTATGTGGTCCTCTGTAGCTCAGCTGGTAGAGCACGGCGCTTGTAACGCCAAGGTAGTGGGTTCGATCCCCGGGACCACCCATACACAAAAATGTATGCACACATGACTGTAAGTCGCTTTGGATAAAAGCGTCTGCTAAATGGCATATTATATACAGTGGGGAAAAAAAGTATTTAGTCAGCCACCAATTGTGCAAGTTCTCCCACTTAAAAAGATGAGAGAGGCCTGTAATTTTCCTCATAGGTACACGTCAACTATGACAGACAAAATGAGAAAAAAAAATCCAGAAAATCACATTGTAGGATTTTTAATGAATTTATTTGCAAATTATGGTGGAAAATAAGTATTTGGTCAATAACAAAAGTTTCTCAATACTTTGTTATATACCCTTTGTTGGCAATGACACAGGTCAAACGTTTTCTGTAAGTCTTCACAAGGTTTTCACACACTGTTGCTGGTATTTTGGCCCATTCCTCCATGCATATCTCCTCTAGAGCAGTGATGTTTTGGGGCTGTCGCTGGGCAACACAGACTTTCAACTCCCTCCAAAGATTTTCTATGGGGTTGAGTTCTGGAGGCCACTCCAGGACCTTGAAATGCTTCTTACGAAGCCACTCATTCGTTGCCCGGGCGGTGTGTTTGGGATCATTGTCATGCTGAAAGACCCAGCCACGTTTCATCTTCAATGCCCTTGCTGATGGAAGGAGGTTTTCACTCAAAATCTCACGATACATGGCCCCATTCATTCTTTCATTTACACGGATCAGTCGTCCTGGTCCCTTTGCAGAAAAACAGCCCCAAAGCATGATGTTTCCACCCCCATGCATCACAGTAGGTATGGATGCAACTCAGCATTCTTTGTCCTCCAAACACGACGAGTTGAGTTTTTACCAAAAAGTTATATTTTGGTTTCATCTGACCATATGACATTCTCCCAATCATCTTCTGGATCATCAAAATGCACTCTAGCAAACTTCAGATGGGCCTGGACATGTCCTGGCTTAAGCAGGGGGACACGTCTGGCACTGCAGGATTTGAGTCCCTGGCGGCGTAGTGTGTTACTGATGGTAGGCTTTGTTATTTTGGTCCCAGCTCTCTGCAGGTCATTCACTAGGTCCCCCCGTGTGGTTCTGGGATTTTTGCTCACCGTTCTTGTGATCATTTTGACCCCACGGGGTGAGATCTTGCGTGGCGCCCCAGATCGAGGGAGATTATCAGTGGTCTTGTATGTCTTCCATTTCCTAATAATTGCTCCCACAGTTGATTTATTCAAACCAAGCTGCTTACCTATTGCAGATTCAGTCTTCCCAGCCTGGTGCAGGTCTACAATTTTGTTTCTGGTGTTCTTTGACAGCTCTTTGGTCTTGGCCATAGTGGAGTTTGTAGTGTGACTGTTTGAGGTTGTGGACAGGTGTCTTTTATACTGATAACAAGTTCAAACAGGTGCCATTAATACAGGTAACGAGTGGAGGACAGAGGAGCCTCTTAAAGAAGAAGTTACAGGTCTGTGAGAGCCAGAAATCTTGCTTGTTTGTAGGTGACCAAATACTTATTTTCCACCATCATTTGCAATTAAATTCATTAAAAATCCTACAATGTGATTTTCTGGATTTTTTTTCCTCAATTTGTCTGTCATAGTTGACGTGTACCTATGATGAAAATTACAGGCCTCTCTCATCTTTTTAAGTGGGAGAACTTGCACAATTGGTGGCTGACTAAATACTTTTTTTCCCCACTGTATTATTATTATTCTATCCTGACTGAACATTTCCTCTGCTAAAGTTGCTTATAGTTCTTTGGAACTAGTTCTAGTTCTCTGAAGGTTTTCTAAGGAACCTGTAGCGACAAGAGAATCACGCGACTCCACAGTCAAACCAGCCATTAGGTCTAGCCTCAGCCAAGTGTGTGTTTCGAAAGGTCAAAATTCTTCCAAACTGGTTCTTCAGGGCTTGACTCCAAACCGCCAGGAGCGCATGCAGCTGGTGAACTAACTGTGGCCCCTGTCAGAGATGTGTTATTATTGTTGTTGATTTGCTACAGTAGGTTTGAGAGGTTGTGTTCAAAATGGAGTTTACGAGGCCACCAAACGCCACTCTCCCCAAGGGAAATTCCTTGTCTTGCTGAGTGAAGGCCCTCAGGGTGTTAACAAACATGGCATCTAGAAAAGCTCTTCCATGCCAGCTTACTGTCCATCAAACCTATTTGTGGTGGTGTTCTGTTGAGTGGTATCACGGTTCAACCTAAATAACTTAATTATGTACTTTGCTCTATTTCGAAAACTGCCCTCATAGTGCAAGCAGTCATCCAATACATGGTACCTCTATGGAGTTGCTTTGTTGTGTGGCACATGGTATAATTGACCTGAATGCTGACCTAAATGTGAATTCATGAAAGGACCTTTTTATTATATGTTTTTGGGGAGCAAAGGGTCACTTGTCTGGGTGTGCTATTTTGGATGTTGTACATTAATCTATGTTTTGTGTAACTTTACATTAGTCTATATTTTGTGTTACAGTACATTATGTGTCGGGTGCACAGACCTGTAGTAGTTCCCCTCTGTAGCTGTCTGTCCCTGGGTTGACTTGTCTGTACATATAGGTCTGTGTGTGTGTTAAAGTATGTGTGTGTGTGCATATGCTGACAAACTGAGTTAAATAAAAACAACCTTGTCTTGAATACAACCATCTAATCAAGGCTTATGAAAAGGGGAGACACATATTGTAGGCTATGACGTCCATCTAGCCTGGAGGAGGAAATTGTTATCCTAAAAAAACTTTCCAGGAGCACGGACTCACCCAATGATATGGCCGATGCTCTCCTCTATAGTGCCAATAGAGTCGTTTCATCTTACCATCCAAAGGGAATGTATGCAGCCGGCTATACAATCGTATCCCCGTGGACCGGTTTGTAAATAAAACATTCCCCATTCAGTTTGCAAAGTCGTCAAACAGACAGTTTTGTCACCCCTGGTCTAATAGTTTCAAAATAAAAGACTGATTGGCTGAACGTGATTGGCTGAACGCCATACGCAACATCCGGGACTAGCATTAGCTACTCTAGCATGGCGGTGAAAAAAAAATAAAAAATCTGCCTTCTCAAAAATAAATAGAGTTATCTGCCTTCTCGAGAATAAATAGAGTTAAGGAGGAAATTGGCACCTTTGCAGCCTTGAATGGAGAATGTTTTATGTACGAACTGGTCCACGGGGGACACGAGTGTGTAGTGGCTGCATATATTCCCTTTGGACAGTAAAATAAAATGACTCAATATCGGCATCTGCCCGCCTTTGGGCTAGGTGCCAAAAAGATAGGCTACTGTTCCCTCAATAGCCTATTGGGAGTTGAGAATTTTGATAGCCCAACTAAAGACAGGTTAGAGTTTTTTCTTTGTCTCTTCTTTGCCACCGATTGTATAAAAAAATATTGAGATATGCCTAGGCCTATTTTAGATGCTTTTCACTGACAGCCGCAAATCAACAATCAGCTATTTGATATGTTGTGCACGCTGCCCAAATTGCACACTTCCCGACTGTAGGTTATACCCTGGCCTTGTGATTGAAAACAATCCACGCAAAAAAAATAAAAGAAAGCTAATGACCCTCTGTGGCTAAATGGTACTCTCTGGTGTAGTGTTTTGAAGGAGTTTATTTTTGTATAGACAGTAGTAATTATATACTTTTGGCAAGTTTAATTCAATTTACTTCAGAGGAAGCTTAGCTTATCCTATTGGAAGCGCCGCCTATGTGTGTGTGTGTGAGTGGTGTGTGTGTGCGCGCTCATGCATCTGTGCTCACATGTGTGTGAGGGTATCTCTGTGTAGGCCTACCTGTCTGTGCCTGAGTCTGCCCCTGGCCTTGCTGCTCCTGTAGGCTTTGGCTGTCCACCGATATGCCACTGTCACTGTGCAGCTTCTCCCCTTCCGGCGATGGGGTCTGGTTCTGATTAGCTGTGCAGTTGTTGGCACCCTGCTTGTTCTGCTTACAGCTGTTCCACCTGGACATAGATAAAAAGTCCTCATTATATAAAAATGTTTTAATAAATGACTTAAATGGACTTGGCGCTGATGAAGGTCAGGGCCCGTATTCATAAAGCATCTCAAAGTAGAAGTGCTGATCTAGGATCAGGTACCCCCTTGTCCTTCTTCATTATGATCTAAATGGAAAAACTGATTCCATATCAGCACTCCTACTCTGAGGCGCTTCATGAATACCGGCCCTGACCCTCGCAGCTTCACAAGGTCTAATGACTGAAACGTTGGTTAAAATATATTTGTTAAATTACTTGTGTAGTATTCAAGAATACCAGTGTTCAGTTTTCTTGTATGGTGTTGTATAGTTTAGTTTATTAAGATACTCATTAGTACATCAGGACTTACAACTAAGTAATAGTAATACATTTTATTACAAAAGTAATAGAATAAGTGGGTTCTTTTAAAACATGCAGAGGAAATTTGGAGAGCCAAGAGCGACTCTATTGAGTTAAATGACTAATTGATTATGATAATCCCACCCACCATTAGTGCCCACCTGAAGACACGCTCACCCCATCCCCGTCACTATCAATTAACAACATACATGAACAAGTAGAATGTCAAATCCTTTGGCAGAGGATAGAACCCCACCCCAATTTTCTCTTGCTGGTACTAACTCTCAATAGTCACTTCATATTCTACACAGTCCACTGCCATTCCCACATGCTCCCTTAGCACCCTATCATCTTCCATTCCAATGTGTATCATGTTGTTCTGAACAGTCAACACCTGTCAATGACTTGGATGAGTAAAGGAAACACATTTGAAAGAAGAAGAAAAAATCATCCTAAACTCATCAAGCTTTGAAGTGGATCAAAACAAAAAAACACTTTTGAACTTTTGACCCTTTAGTTGCTGGCCCTTGAGACCCTCATTCGAACATAATTTCTGTCTGCTCTTTTAACCAGGTCTCTCTTGCCAACAAGACTTCATCTCAATAACCACATTTTGATCCACAGTTTTATGTGAGTAAAGTCATACCGTATAAATAAAAAAATCACAACAGCTGTAATGGAAAGAGGAAGTGTCGGTACAATTTTATAACAATTTCTTTGTTCGACATGGTGAGATCTTTTTGTGTGGGTAAAGTTAATTGTGGGAGAAACTATTTATTGCGCAATTGTTGATAAGATATATTATCAACAATTGCGCAGTAAATAGTTTCCCCCACAATTTACCTGTCGAGGTAAATTTGCAGTCACGCGATGCTATGTTGTGTGGTCCTCACTATGACTTGAAAACACATGTACAGATCATTATTTGTTATTTAACCAGACAAGTCAGTTAAGAACAAATTCTTATTTACAATGACGGCCTACACCGGCCAAACCCGGACGACGCTGGGCCAATTGTGCGCCGCCCTTTGGACTCCCAATCACAGCCGGATAGTGATACAGCCTGGAATCGAACCAGGGTCTGTAGTGACACCTCTAGCACTGAGAGTGCCTTAGACTTCTGCACCACTCGGGAGCCCATCACCTTTAAGAGATGGCTATAGATTAAATAAGTTATAATGAACTTCACAGGGTGGTGAAAGTGCATGGGGATGAGCTTGATACTCCTTTCCCGTAAATATTGAGGGTCTTAATTTGTATAGTGACATGACGATCGGTGCTTAGCTGCCAATTAACAAATAAAAATGCTCTTGCTGTTATCCCTCTCATCATATAACTTAACCTGTCCACTTTATCAGCGAACTGTTGTTTAGAGAGCATGCGCGAAAACCAGATTGGGCAAGTTGTATAATATTCACATTAAAATATGTTGTAAATTGGATGGAAACCTAGCTATTGAGACTAATCTTGATAAATAAAGGTTACACATTTAAAAAAACAATGCAAGAAATGTCCATTTCACAGATAAGTCAATAGTAACTGACCTATTGTGCGCCCTGTCTATATATGTCCATAGTCTGCTTTTCATGCTCATGGGGCGGAAGTGGGTCAAAGTGACACCCTTTGATGTGGTATCTGAATATTTCATAGCCCCCCTTCTGCCCCCTGTGCAGACTGCCGCCGGCATCGATGCTCGCCCATCCGTGTTCTGGTATGTTTGTTTTGAAGCCCGTTTTTTGAGCTGAAAGCGCATTAGGTCATCACCTCAAAGCTAGCAGTGCCGTGTAGAGAGTGTAGAGTTGGAAAAATAAGCATTCAATATTATGCAGGGATCAGTGGGAAGTGGGTGTAAAAGGTTTAAAAGAATAACAACTCAAATGTAGCACAAAATAGGCAGTTTCGCTGAACAGACGTTGGGGATCCCCAGGCTGAATGGCAGGGGCTTGTGCCCTCACCCAGAAAAGTGGCAGATGACTTCATGAAATGAATTTACTTTATTATAAGATCAGATTTATTGACTCTTATGAATACTTTGAATGTCTTGAAAATCTCATGTCTCGAACATTGGTTCATCGTTCACTTGTTAACTTGTTAACTAATGTAATTTTCTTATAATCGTAAATGACCATACTGATGCGGTCCAGGGTCAATTCAATTTACACATAATTACCTTTAGTCATAGTGGTTAAGTGGTCACGTTTCCCTTAAATTCCTAGAGCAAATACCAAAGCAAAGCCTTAAAGAGACGCTTTAGCTTATCTAGGGTGTTGACGTTTCTGAGCGTTGCTAAATAACCAGCTAACCAACCAATGACATTATCTATTTTAAACATCTTAAATATTACAATACAACACCATTCCTCATTGAGGTCCCATCCCATCTGCTTCTCTTCCTCACCTCTTAAAGATGATGAAGGCCACAAGGCCCACCACCACGGCCGCCAGGATAGAGCAGTAAATGGGGATGAGGTTCTCATTCAGCCCGTGACCTATGAACTTGATTGTACTGGTGGTGGTGGTGGTGGTGGTGGTGGCGGTCTCCGTGGGGCCGTAGGGGAAAAGGTTGTCATCGTCTGTGAACGAGGGCAGGGACGAGCCCCCAAAGGGAGAGGGAGAGACGGAGGAGAAGAGCGGCGTGTTCAGATCTGCAGGAGAAGAAAATAAGAAGATGTTGGTGAGTATAAAAAGTGGGCGAGGAATGGAGGGAATGTAATTGACTGTTGTGTATTTATGTACAGTAAATATACAGTAAAGATTTGTGAACCGCGAATATATCTGATGTGATACTAGATAGAGGATAGAGGCATACAAATCCGTTATGGAATATTGTATCGGTTAACATGTATTGTTTGATGACTTACTGCTAGACTCCCTACTTTGTACAATATAAAATATTAAGTCCTTTCCCACACTATCTTAACCACCATACAATCAACATCTCCTGCAGTTTTGTCCGAATCCTGTCTTGAAATACACATGTGCCACTTGAACTTTCAGGCAGATAGTGCATTGAGAACAGGATTCAGCCCTCTGTATCTATCTCCATATTTGAAGTATAGCTATCAGTTTGAGTTTCATACAAACACCCGTAGATATCCAGGGAGAGGCCTGATAAGGAGGTCACCCCCCACCTCTACAAGCCCAGCCTGGAGCCTCAATATGGAGACTGTTCCCTCTGTCACAGGTGGTGGCAGATGGAGGAACATATTGTGGGTCCTGATACCCTGCCCATAAGGAGGTCTTAGGGATCTAAGATTTGGGTTGGATATAGGCCCCAAGGATGGAAACAGGAGGAGTGAGCCTATAGGAGTTGAATACGGCACAAGTAGCCCTGGGCCTGGCAGTGTAGAACATCCCCCCTCAATCTCAACCTCATGCACCACCCACCCACCTACACACACACCATGCTTCGTCTCTCGTCCTGTAACTGTCAGTCATTGACTCCATTTTGAGGAGTAGCTTGAAACCCAAGGAGAAGGTGGGTCTCCTTAATGAGAGAATATCTCCCTACACACACACACACACACACACACACACACACACACACACATACTTCACTTCCTCCTCCTATCCATCCCACATCACTTGGTCATTTCCCATACCCCCAAGGAGTCATTACCAGAGTAAGAGCCGTGCTTCCATCCACTTTCCCTCTCTCTCCACCATTAACGCCTAGCGGACATGTTCACTCCTCAGCGCTGGCTGCTGATGTGGAAAACTATCTATGTCTGTTGTTTACTTACAGTTATTCACATCAACAGGAAATCATCCAACAGCACTAAATACCTCAGGAGAGTTGCTTTGCATTGGGGAAGGAGATGGTAGTCGCTAATGTGGTGAAACAATTAGTGAGACCTTGTTGTGATTGCGACTCAAGGGGAGCAGGTCATGGGAGGGGGCAGTAGTATGGAAGGAGAGGATTCATTTTTAGTATGCTGTCTCAGTGTGACCAATGTCAATGACAGGAAGTGTTCGATTAGTTTGACATATAATTGTGTTTTTGTTTAATGAGACCGCTACGTTTGAACTTTACACAATTGTAAACTGCTGTAAATACATTGAACATCACATTTGTACATATTTTTTTTACATCTTTGACTGGTTTCCCATATTTCATATCTCATGTTATTAGGGTCCTAGTCATAACTTCATAGCAGCTCTGACCATGAATACAAAAAAACGGATCCTTTTTTTTATTTTGTAATGCAATTTACAGGCTTGTGTGACTGTATGACTGACTAGCTAGCCTACTGATTTACTTGGGGCCTAGTCTGTTCAAACTTATTTTTCTGTCTGACTGCAGATCAGCTCTAGTGATGCATGTTTGATTGCAGGTGTTGTTAACAGCCAGTTAATCTGATTGTTTTGTCTGGCCTCTAGTTTACTGGTAGATTGCAGGTGTTTTAACGGTTTTGTCTGGCTGATGCACGTTTCTCTGACTGGTAGGTGGTGTGACTGTGGCCTCCTGTGACTGCCAGGTCAGTGAATGGTCCACCTGCCGTGTTCAATGAGCCTTGTGCTCCAGTCAAGTGGCCTCTCCGTGGGTCCAGCCTACTCAGCAGAACACAGCTTGGACACAGGTGGCTGACGCCAGCTCTTCTTTCTCTCTATTTCTAGTTATTCTTTCAAAATCAATTGCTAGCAACCTACAACCAGTACACAGAAAAATTTACATTTCAAGTACAATGATAGGTTGACATTAATACGCAACACAGGAAATACCGCAAATGTTTTGATTGGATTTGTAAACGAATTTACTGTCATTAAAGGGAACTAAGCTGATTGACTGCTTACTTCTTTCACTCCTTTTGATAATTGTTATTTCCCCCCACCCTCTACATTTTAGTCAATTAGCAGACACTCTTATCCAGAGCGACTTACAGGAGCAATTAGAGTTAAGTGTTACTCAAGGACACATCAACAGATTTTTCACCTAGTTGGCTTGGGGATTTGAACCAGAGACCTTTCGGTTTTTGGCCCAACACTCTTAACCACTAGGCTACCTTCCGCCTACCTCTACTACTACTTCATGAAATGTCCTCCTCTCTCATCAGTGTGACTTCATCCCCCCCCCCCCCCCCCGCCACCCTCCCAACAAGAAAGGACACCAGACACCCTACACTGACAGAGATCCCCTTTGTCGGGCACAAATGTTCCCTCTCTTTCTCTCCGTCACTCCCTCTCTTTCTCTTTCTATCAGAATATGCCATCTCTCTTACTTGCCCCCTTGTCCATTCCTTATCTCCCTCTCTATCAAGCCATATGCACTTTCCTTTGTCTCCATCCCCAACTCACTTGGACCTCACAGTCTCTCTCTCTCTCACTCACACACACAATCTCTCTGGCTCTCTCTCTCTTACACTGTATTTTGTCTCTCTCTCGCTGTCTGTCTGTTTCTGCATCTCTCTCTCTATTTCTCGCTTTATCTCTGTATGATGGAGAGATGAAGCTGTACACTCTAAAGTGCCCTTTACTAGCGTGACTGAGTGCTGCTCACAATGCAATGAATGGCCACACTGGGAGTCACCTTATCCTCCTCCTCTCCTACAACATTCTGCTGAGTTCAGCTCACACAGTATCCCTAGAGCAGGGGAAATGGCCCTTGGTTTGTACTTATAAGAGCTTGTGTGTGTGATCTCAAGTTAGTATTGAGCCCTATGACTGTATCACTCAGTACATACAGTATGGCAGGAGAAGTTCCGCCCCCATTCATTTTCAATGAGGGCACGCAGAGAAATGTGAGGGGATTGTGTGAAGGTGAGCAGAGTGAACCCTAAAGTTAAGCTCTGCTCTACTTTATGCAAATGTTACACGGCCACCACTGCTGTTAACCAATCAGGTGAGGAGCACATGTTTGCTTGAAAATCTTCAGTTCATAAAACATACTGTGTGATTAGAAGGAGTCAGGCGCAGGAGGGTAAATCACAGAATACAGAGTTTATTCCGTCGTACACAGTTGCGCTGGATAGCAACAACAAAATACAGGCACAGGGGAACAATCTACCCCGGCAATACAAGGTACGAGTAGCTCCAACAAAATACAGGCACAGGGGAATAATCTACCCCGGCAATACAAGGTACGAGTAGCTCCAACAAAATACAGGCACAGTGGAATAATCTACCCCGGCAATACAAGGTACGAGTAGCTCCAACAAAATACAGGCACAGGGGAATAATATACCCCGGCAATACAAGGTACGAGTAGCTCCACCGAGTTACACTCAACTCACACAAAACAATCACCCATAAGGACAAGGGGGCAGAGGGAACACTTATACACAGACTAATGAGGGGATATGAACCAGGTGTGTGTAAATGGCAAGACAAGACAAATGGAATGATGTTATATGGAGCGGCAGTAGCTAGTAAGCCAGTGACGACGAACGCCGAAGCCTGACCGAACAAGGAAGGGAGGCAGCCTCGGCGGAAGTCGTGACACATACAGTAGTTCTGCCAGTTATTTGCTCCGGGCAAGCAAAATAAAAAAAGAAAGCTAATCTTCGCTGTGTCTGTTTTTCAATTATATATTATGTTTCTTTGCTAGAATACAGAGACAAAATCAAAAGGTCAATGTCATGGAGGAGGATTGTAGAGATTGTTGGTGTTGATGGTGGGTGAAGAGAAGTTTGAACAACAATGTTTGCTTGTGCTGCTAGCTAGTTATGAACCACAATCAACCTAGGCCTAAACTTCAAAACTGTGATCAAAGCCACCATTTCTGAATGTGTTAACTAAATTAAATTGTGAAATTTGCCCACCAAAGTATAGAAATGAACAGTAACACAAGTTATAACATTGTAAATAAAGCACTAAGCATGAATTTCCCATGCAATATGCTACCAATTGGATTATGGTATTTTAACATTATGATTCTCATATATTATAGCTTATGGCTCTTATACCTGTGTCATGACATTAATTATTAGAGCTCACTTCCTATAAAATACAGTACATAGGCCTACATGTAAAATACACATGAATGGGTACTTTGGGTAAAGTAAATTGTGAGCAAATCTCTATTCACCTACCACCAACACCAACAATCTCTGCAATCCTCCTCCATGCAATTGACCTTCTGATATTGTCTCTGTATTCTAAAATCATTCTCAGCAAATAAACGAGGTAGAATTACAACACTCTCCACGCTCCCACTATTTTCCTTTTTTACATTTTATAATTAGCCTACAAATGGTCAGCTCCTTATTTTCACATACAGTTCTGTACCCAGAATACAAAGGTTGGATTTGCACTAAACAATTTGATTATGTCAGAAAAATCATGTAGAAAATGTGGCTTTTGGTTAGCCTCTAATCTACTGGTATCATTCTAAATTGAGAATATTTAGTTAGATCAACAATATGCAAACAATCTGTGAGTTTAGTTATTCTTTGCTTCAGATGTACAATGACAAGGGGTGCATTGCACATGCCAATTAGGCCAGTAATGCCATCATACTGAAGGCATATGGCTGCATTGGTGATGCATGCCATTATGATAAGCTCACGTGGCTGATATCCTGAGACAGAGTGACAATCAAATAAAAAAGATTGGAAAGCTCATAACTGGACAAAAAGGTAATGTTCATATGAGAAATCATCACAGAAACACAGACAAATTAGAGACAGATCACCTTCACCCCTTTTTATTGCAGAATTGTGATCTGTGAACATACACACTAGTTAATCTTGAATAATAGTTTTAAGTTAACAATTAAAATAAGCTTAATCACTTCATGTCAATGAATCCACATTGAATTAATCAACATATAATTTCAAAATGTACAAATAAGCTAACTTTTCCCAGTGGGTCAGAAGTTTACATACACTCAATTAGTATTTGGTAGCATTGCATTTAAATATGTTTAACTTGGGTCAAACGTTTTGGGTAGCCTTCCACAAGCTTCCCACAATAAGTTGGGTGAATTTTGGCCCATTCCTCCTGACAGAGCTGGTGTAACTGAGTCAGGTTTGTAGGCCTCCTTGCTCGCACACGCTTTTTCAGTTCTGCCCACAAATGTTCTATAGGATTGAGGTCAGGGCTTTGTGATGGCCACTCCAATACCTTGACTTTGGAAGTATGCTTGGGGTCATTGTCCATTTGGAAGACCCATTTGCGACCAAGCTTTAACTTCCTGACTGATGTCGCTTCAATATATCCACATCAGTTTCCTTCCTCATGATGCCATCTATTTTGTGAAGTGCACCAGTCTCTCCTGGAGCAAAGCACCCCCACAGCATGATGCTGTCACCCCCGTGCTTCACGGTTGGGATGGTGTTCTTCAGCTTGCAAGCTGTCCCCTTTTCCCTCCAAACATAACGATGGTCATTATGGCCAAACAGTTCTATTTTTGTTTAATCAGACCAGAGGACATTTCTTCAAAAAGGACGATCTTCGTCCCCATGTGCAGTTGCAAACCGTAGTCTGGCTTTTTTATGGTGGTTTTGGAGCAGTGGCTTCTTCCTTGCTGAGCGGCCTTTCAGGTTATGTCGATATAGGACTTGTTTTACTGTGGATATAGATACGTTTGTACCGGTTTCCTCCAGCATCTTCACAAGGTCCTTTGCTGTTGTTCTGGGATTGATTTGCACTTTTCGCACCAAAGTACGTTAATCTCTAGGAGACAGAACGCGTATCCTTCCTGAGCGGTATGACGGCTACTTGGTCCCATGGTGTTTATACTTGCGTACTATTGTTTGTACAGATGAACGTGGTATCTTCAGGCGTTTGGAAATTGCTCCCAAGGATGAACCAGACTTGTGGAGGTCTACAATTTTTTTCTGAGATCTTGGCTGATTTCTTTTGATTTTCCCATGATGTCAAGCAAAGAGGCACTGAGTTTGAAGGTAGTCCTTGAAATACATCCACATGTACACCTCCAATTGACTCAAATTATGTCAATTAGCCTATCAGAAGCTTCTAAAGCCATGACATCATTTTCTGGAATTTTCCAAGCTGTTTAAAGGCCCAGTCAGCTTAGTGTATGTAAACTTCTGACCCACTGGAATTGTGCTACAGTGAAATAATCTGTCTGTAAACAATTGTTGGAAAAATTACTTGTGTCATGCACAAAGTAGATGTCCTAACCGACTTGCCAAAACTATAGTTTGTTAACAAGAAATTTGTGGAGTGTGTCACGCACTGGCCTTGAGAGGCCGGTTGTCTTTAGTTGGTTTGGTCAGGGTGTGAATTTCTATGTGTTGATCTAGTTTTGTATTTCTATGTTGTCGCTCGTTGTCTCTGATTGGGGATCATACTTAGGCAGCCATGTTGCCTACCTTAGTTGTGGGATCTTGTTTGTGTTCCTGTTAGGCTTGTTGTGTGTATAGCCCACAGGACTTCACGTTCCGTTGTTTTGTTATTTTGTCAAGTGTTTATTCGTCTTAATAAACATGTACGCATACCACGCTGCACCTTGGTCTGACCCGTTTCTCAACGACTGTGACAGAAGATCCCACCAAACAAGGACCAAGCAGCATGCCCTTGAGGAGCAGAAATCATGGAAAAAAAATGAAGTGGGGGCACACGGGGTGGTTGGCGGAGCCAGGGTTCAGAGCAGAGCCAACTCCCCGTATTCATGCTAAGAAGCGTGTGACAGTGCAGTCTCCGTGTTATGCGGAGATATACACTGTGTCACCAGTGCGCCTGCACAGTCCAGTGCATCCTGTGCTATCGCCACGCACGTGCCGTGCGAAAATGGGCATCCAGCCAGGACGGGTTGTGCCGGCTCAACGCTCCTGGTCTCCAGTACGACTCCTCAGTCCAGCATACCCTGCGCCGGTTCTACGTACTGTGTCTCCAGTGCACGTTCACAGCCCAGTGCGTCCTGTGCTAACGCCACGCACGTACCGTGCGGAAGTGGGCATCCAGCCAGGACGGGTTGTGCCAGCTCTACGCTCCAGACCTCCAGTGCGCCTCCACAGCCCGGTACACCCCGTACCTGCTCCCCGCACCAAACCAGTGGTGCGCGTATCCAGTCCAGTACGGCCCGTACCTGCTCCCCGCACCAACCCAGTGGTGCGTGTCGCCAGCCCGGTACACCCCGTACCTTCTCCCCGCACCAAACCAGTGGTACGTGTCGCCAGCCCGGTACATCCCGTAACTGCTCCCCGCACCAAACCAGTGGTGCGCGTATCCAGTCCAGTATTGCTCCACCCATAGGACTTCACATTCCGTTGTTTTGTTATTTTGTCAAGTGTTTATTCGTCTTAATAAACATGTACACATACCACGCTGCA